GCCAAACGTATGAAATAAACCGAGAAACTGTGCACATTGCTAAGAGACGTGGAAGGAGATATAGCAGATTTGTCGCAGTCGACCGGTTGACCCAATCAGTACCACTGTCAGTACTTAAAGTTCTAGGGAAAGGTGTACATCATGCGTTCTGCTTCACGATTTAATTACGTCTCGTGATACTTTATTTGTTTATTTATTAACGAGTCGTTGTAATTTTTCCTATAGCTTGAATGAAAAGTTTTAAGTGTAAGTTAGAAGTTAGAAACACTTGCATTTTTGGTAAAAATAAGTGGAATTGAGTTGGTGTGCGACAGTGGTCGCGCTATTAGAACTCAAAAATCGATATCCCGAAATCTATTAGAAATAATTAATTGATTGTAGTTTTTCAAAAACTTTCTTCGCAGACAGTATTCAAAAATCTTTATAAATAAAAAAGTTACATGATAGCTAAAAACTGCTATGCACTAAAAGTAAATGGATGGGCTGTATAAATTTTAGAATGAAAAAAAGACAACCTTCAAAATAAAAAAAAGCTTCAATATCTAAAGTGGTTCTTAAGTTATGGCGTGTTATGTGTAAAAACGTTGAGTTTTTAAATTATCGAGATTACTGACGTTTTCTTGTTATAAAAAAATGGACACCCTAACGATATCCTTATAATTCCATTTCAGATGCTCAGAAACATATCTAATGATTTTATCTAGTTACCTTTTCGAAAAAAAGTCTTAAAAATAAGCGATTTGCGATAGTGATTTTACTAGTTGACAGAGAAAGGCGTACCGGCAACAATGCAACAACACACCGTCGCACTTCTCTCACTCCGACTTAATAAGATCCCTATGCGATTTAGTTCCACACATGTAAATACCGACCCAAAAGTAACAGTTGCCACCATGGTATATTCTTTCTAATTGGCCTTGTCAATCAACTAATCATTTTTACTTATACTAATTTACAATTTACTAGTAATTTTCATATCTTATAGTGCTAGTACTGCTTTATACTTGAGTTTTTATATGCTTATCTCCAAGATAAAACTCAAGGAATTCTACCCAAACTACTAAATCACTCACGGGTTCTAAATAGGTACGTAACAAGCAGTCTACTGGGAGTTCTTTATTAACTTGCGATTAAAAATGTATTTAATAGCACTTACATTATTCTTTACAGACGTCATTAAAACAAAAATAAAATATGTTAATTTATGTTATCATTTTTAAAAAATATAAAGATCATAAATAAGACAATAACTTGGTATGAGCAGTAATGAGCACTGTGAGTTTTCAACAAATGTGAAACATTTTTATATAGTTATATTGCGTTGATAATAGTCTAAGAGCTAGCAATGTTTTCGTGAAAAGTATTTTAAGACGTCTGGCTCTTTAATATATCTTTTACTATGCTCTCTGCAACAGCATGCGGCCCGTCTGGCTGCCGATACCTACTACTGCGCATCGAAAGAAGATCCTATATTTTTTATTAATTTAGTCCTATAAATTCTAAGTATTGGATATAAATCGAACATGTCTCCATAGCGCAGTGCGTAGAGTTTCCGACCACGAACCGATGATTCAGAGTTCGAATCCGGGTCAGGGCAAAGACTTTTTTATTTTATTTTCGTTTATATTCTTATAGTAAAGTATTAAATAATTCTGGTATTTAAAAAAAAACAAATATTTAATACTTTACTATCAGAATATAAACGAAAATAAAATAAAAAGTCTTTGACAAAAATTAAACATGTTCACTAGATAGTTATTTGACTGAAATTATAAATTTGAAAACGTAACCTTAAATTGCTAAAGTTTATAATAAATCAGTTTCTGTTGAATTTTTGACACAAGAACATTCCAAAATTTATTAGTTTAGTGTAATATCATCTAGTCAACATGTTTAATTTTTGACAGTGATAACATATATTGATTATTTCGATTCCAGAAGTCTTGGAAAGTGGTACTCGTAGCAATTTTTACCAAGAGAAATTTTTTACGTAAAAAAAAGGAAATTTATATTTTCTACTCCAGTAGTGTATCTAATACAAGTACGGACGAAAAGTTATAACTCTTCAAAACATTTAAAAAATATGAAGGTGACGTCTCCTACGACGAAATTGAATTTTATGTGGCAAAAATAACTTGACCACCAATTTTCATCCAAAAATCGACCTTATTTCAGAAATTATTTGGAAAAAAACTAAATAAAAATGAAACTTCCACACCCTGTATCTCCAAAACCAAGCCTTTTAAAACATTAACTTTTAAACTTTTTTATTTACATTTATCGGTAAAATATGTTGTTAGTTTCCCGATTACAATTCAGACCACCCTGTACAATAACACATCACATATAATCCCATAATTTATTTCTACAAAGGTATTCCAAAAAGATAACGCACCTACCCTAGCTAATATTTCGTTGTTACACTGCTCCACCACCGAATCAAGGTTGTTCTTGTCCGCTTGGTCGCTGGTGTCGGATTGGGGCGACATGTGCGACCTCTTGTGGCCGTCGTAGCAACCAGAATCGCGCGGGAAGTGACGTCTGCCGAAATTGGTGCGGTGTTGCCGCTGGTCGTCGTTCTCGCTGCTCGAGCCTGCAATGTCGCCCTCACTACCCGCTGGGTAAAGACAAACAACCATATTATATTTCAATAATATTGTTTGAAAACGTGTAAAAAACTGTAATATGAACGACAAACGGACGCCGATGCGTATGAACTCGCCTTTAGATTTTTGAGGATTGTCAAAGTCCTGCCAAATTATAGGTTATAATTTTGTGTCAACTTATGTCAAATATCGGCGTTTTGGAAGACGATACATTTTGATTTGTGTTATTACGTGTGTTTTGTGTCATTTGAAGCCAACTGCAGAAAAAATCGAGGGAAAATTAACTGTAGACCTAGAGCACAGTTTATAGTTAATACTCGCTGCCCAGGCAGAAAGTCTTATACACCAATAAAGTTACCATCAATAAAGTTTGTGTATCATCTCGTCGTAGATAACTGTATCTCGTATATGCTACAAGGATCGTACTAAATATATACTACTGGAGTAGCTGTAAAATATCGACATCACACGATAGGTAAATAATGGATTTTAGTACTGCAGAAAAATGTCAAAAGGTACTGGTTTAAAAAAAATAGATTAAAGTTAATTACATTACGATGACTTGTAGATATATTGGATTTTCTATAAAAGATAAAAGATCCATCCATTTTCTTCACTTCCAACGACAGGTTTCTGCCTAATAGTTTTTTCGTATACCACACTATCAACTCTGCGAAATAGGAAAAGCAGTTTTTGTTAAGAAAATTCCTATTTGGATATGTTTGAGCATAAACCCTTCAGACCAACAAGCAATTTTCCTCTCAAAATAAAATCACTAGTAACATAATCCATTCCTTCCGCCAGCAGATACTGCTTCATTTTTTATGAGTTAAAATAAATTAGCTTTTTTTTCAAAAAAAAGCTGCGTAAAGATTCTTTACCAAATATCTGTTAAATTTATGTTCCATAATATAATCTACTGTTAATTTTTCTACTTACAATCCAACTCATGCAGCAACTGTACTGCCGTCAAAATCTTAGCCCTGTGATCGGCGTTCACTATCCCCAAATAATCCATATCCGAAGGTTCAATTTCCTTGAACAGTTCCAAATCTTCGTATCCGTTCAGCACGAACACGGATATGTAATCCGGCAGACCGATTTTATGAAGCAGGTCCTCCACGGATACAGGTTTGCCCTTGACAGTCCTGTGCCATGATTTGGGCTCGCGTTTGGGTTTGACCGATCTCTCGGACAGGAGTTCGACGTGTTTGAACTTGAAAGTACCCTTTTTGCCGTGGCAGATGCCTCGCCAAAGTCCGCTTGCGTTCATAGAAACTATGTCTATTATATCACCAGCCTGGAAAAGAGAAATATAGTGTTAAATTTGAAATAAATAGTATTAAGTCTAATCATAGGCAGTTGACCTGACCTGAGTGATACTAATATATTTAAGAGGCATTAGACTTGACATACACCAGACGATTAATTAAAGCTCTTGAAAAGCCATCGAAATCCTTGCTCCACAGCTAGTATTGGGCCATATATTTTGGTATTATATGACCCGTAGTGCAGTAAAATTCTGGATTAGGAAAAAGTAAACCATCCATTGGAGAAACAGACAGGGACACAAGCATAGCAAGGAATTCATCTAAATTACTAATACTAAAACTGCAAATGAACTGCTTGCTCATCAAGAATATAGTTCGGATTACAACAGATCTCATGAGAGAGGCTTTGGCGTGCCACCCGATGGCTTTAAAGTGCCACCCGATCAAGCTCAATCTGTATCAAGGAAATCTTTGCTGCAGATTCTGCTAAATAGATCCTGGAACAACAGAGCAAATAATATGTTATGCAAGGTTGG